GATTAAGACTATTGCAAGGATCAGCAAGCAGAAACCTGGAGCTTTTCACATACTAACTGAGCCTCTTAGGGTACAGTCAGAAATGCAGTCGAAATAATATAGTTGCTTGTAAATTGCATTGTTCACAATGAAGTGCACAGTGCAAGTATTCCAGGTAGACTGGGCTGCCATAACATTATCCTGGAGGAACTGTTCGCCATTGACTTCAATGGGACTTGCCCCAGTAGAATTCTTTGAAAATTAGGCTCTTAGCATTTCAGGTAATTAAATGGACACCCATGTGAGAGAAAACAGCAGATAAATAAAATATAATCACATCAAAAAGAATATTATCCATTTCAGCTTGTTGCTATAATTAAGTGGTTTTTAGATAATAAAAGAGTGCAGTCAAAACATCACTGAGACATGAGTGGATTTTGAAAGGGATCCATTGTATAGAAAGCAAGACATCTGAAGTTCTTACAGTCTAGGCAGTGCACCGTTTTGAACATCAAGCAAATTGCAATGAAAATAGTTCTTGCACCATAATGCTCAGGAAGATGTGATCCATCGGCAGGATATCTGGAAAACAACAACAGCTCTGGATTATGTCAAGTGATGAAATCATTGCAATGCGCCATGTCTTGGAAACCTGGAAGCCTTTGGGGCTTTCATGCAACAAATGAAACCTTTTTCTGGACACCACCCTCTTCACAGCATTACGGTCTCAGGTTTCTCTGCCGCACTTAGAAAATGTTGGGCAGTTGCCGAGAAGTGGCCTGGGCAATGTACCCTCCTTGAGCACCCCCTCATGCTTCCTCAGGTTTATTGAGCAATGGTGGGGTAGTGGTGATGGAGGAGCACCGCAATCTGTGCTTCTCAGGGTCCTGAGGCACCTTTAAATTTTCCACCTCCCAATTTGGGAAGAAGAAGAAGAATCCAAAGTACAACAGGCAGTGGTGATTCTCCTCCATTGCTGGCTGCCCTTTGTATGTGCTACTCTAGGTGGATTGTGATTGCAGAAGTGGCAATGGCCAGCCAAGTGGTAGAGGAGAAGCATCCCCTCTGAACTACTCTGGGCTTACCAGCTTACTTCCTCTGTTGCCACTCCCCAAATTAGCACAGGCAGAGACACTTTCTTCCATCACTAGCCAATAATAAGGACTGAGCTCTCCTTATCATTGTGAGGTTGCTGTGGGTTACTCTTTAAATTCAGAAGGAAAACACAGTGATGATCAGCTATCTGGCACAGAATAGGCAGCCTCTCCACCTTTTAAGGAAACCCAGATGAGGACAGGGTGGTGCTTCCATGCTATTCCTCCAGAAGGTTTCCAAGTGCAGATCACTTGAATGAATGAACACTCAGAAATACACTTTGGCTATCTCAAGACTTGTCAGGGACTGGACTGAGGAGGAATGGTGGGGACTACCCCCACTTCTCCTGAACTTCTCTAGAAGAGGAGGACAGTATAGATTTACAACAGTGGTTTGCAGGAGGTAATAGTTCACAGGCTGCAGAGGGAAGAAGCTGGGAAATATTGGGAGAGGAGCAGCAGGAAGAAGAAGCACCAGGAGAGAGACAGCTGACAGACTCAGTGTCTTTAGAAAGCATTCCTGACCCGCCCCTCCAAGGATCAGATGGGCATTGAGAGTAGTAGAACAGAAAGCTCAGAGGCAGAAAGCGCAGATCAGCCAGCGCAGGGATGATGTACAATAGAAGAGATGGAGGGGTTGGGACTTTACTTGGAATAACGCCATTATCCTGGAGACTGCATCCTGCGTCTCTCTCTGTGGATATTGAGTAAAAAACCTTGGTAAGAACTTCTCGTATTTCCATTTACTGGCAGCCTGCCATGAGGGAGTGGGGTTGGATTCCCTGAAGCCTGATAAAACTAAAACGAGAATGGTCAACACGAAAGAAAACATCACCCCCCAATTAATGAGAATTTCATCAAAAGTTTCCATCCCTTTGATAATTTTGGGGTGTAATTTGTTTTCTCATTATTGCTGGAAGATAGTAGAAAAAATGCAGGAGAAATTACAATGCTGAGCAATTAAAAGTGTAAACCACTGGAGAAGAAGGGCAAAGAAGAAGAGCTGTAGTGGTCCTTCATGGTCTGTGGGCCCAGAAATTTGCCTTGATCACTCCAGGTGCTGATATTAGACCTACAATAGCCCAATCTGCATTCATGTCTGGATATTTTCCAGATGGGTCTGGAGCCAAAGTGCAAAACACATCCATGTCTAGGAGACTCCCAAAGCCCAACCCCAAGTCCTGATTCATCTCTAGAGAAATCTCTCTGATTTGTAAAATCAGAGCTGTCACTGTGTTCGATCCCATCTAATGACGCTGTTTCAAGGATGTAGCAAAAGTCAAGCTAGCTGAATGTGTGGCAGTGGGTGAGAAGCTGAAAGAATAATGCCTCAGACAGGCATAATATTATTATAGGAAAAAGTCGGCTCTGTCATCCATGTCGAACCTGCAAAACTAGAGACAGAAAGGTAGACCATCAGCAGGTGGAAAATTGCATAATTTAATGGATTTTGCTGTCGCTCTTCTTGTCTATTCTGCATATCTGGCCACAGATGTCTCTCTCATGGGATGAAAATATAAAATAAAGGGATCAATCTTGCCTTTCGGGAGAGCAAAATGGGTAGTAGAAGGAAATGGCAAGGTAAGAAAAATGAATAGCTATCCCTCATTATTATTATTTGTCCCCAAGGCTATTTTCCCCTGCCCATTGGATAAAATGTGAAACTTCCAACTGCATGTGCTAAGCAAAATTTTAAATACAATGGTACCTCGGGTTACATACGCTTCAGGTTACATATTCCGCTAATCCAGAAATATTACCTCGGGTTAAGAACTTTGCTTCAGGATGAGAACAGAAATTGTGCTCCGGCAGCATGGTGGCAGCGGGAGGCCCCATTAGCTAAAGTGGTGCTTCAGGTTAAGAACAGTTTCAGGTTAAGAACGGACCTCCAGAACGAATTAAGTACTTAACCCGAGGTACCACTGTAATTCAAAATACAGCACAATATTCTACTCACTTTGATGTGGAAACCAGCTTTCCTTAATTTTTAACATTTTCTTATTTATAGTTCTTCTAGAACTTTCGTTTTGTTCCACTGCCCCAGTGCTAAAGGATCTAAAGCAGAGGTCGGCAACCTAAGGCCCATGGACCGCATACGGCCCATGGGCCTCCCGGAACTGGCCCATGGCAGGTTCCGTGGATCGGCGAGGGGAATCCATGGTTTGTTTTTTCTGTGGCGCAGGTGCCATTTCCCCCCCTCCCTCACCGCAGAGGAACCTCTTCCCTCCTCCCTCCCTGGTGTGGCAAATCACCGGCCAATCGCCTACTAAGGTTTGAGGCCCTGGCCAATGGGTGAGCAGTGGCTGTGCATGGCCGAGAGGAGGAACGGGGCTGGGCTGAGCTGGCCAAGCGCATTTCCAGCAGCCCCTTGTTGGAGCAAGCTGTTTAATAATAATAATAATAATTTTTATTTATACCCCACCCTCCCCAGCCAAGGCTGGGCTCAGGGCGGCTAACAAGCAATAATAAAAACAAGTTGAATGAATACAACTTAAAAACAAGATTAAAATACAACATTAAAATATTGAAACATTAAAATATTAAAATAATTTGTATCATCACAGGAGGAGAAAGGAAAAAGAAAGAGGGGGAGGGAATCAAATTGGCTCCAAGCCAAAGGCCAGGTGGAGCAACTCTGTCTTACAGGCCCTGCGGAAAGAAATCAGATCCTGCAGGGCCCTGGTCTCATGAGGCAGAGCGTTCCACCGGAGCCAGTGTTGAGAAGGCCCTGGCTCTGGTTGAAGCTAATCTAACTTCCTTAGGGCCGGGGACCACTAGGGTGTTGCTATCTATGGACCTTGAGGCTCTCCGTGGGGCATACCGGGAGATGCGGTCCCGTAGGTATGAGGGTTCTAGGCCGTCCTGCTCCTGTGCCTGCCCTTACAAGCAGCAGAGGCTGTCGGCGGTGGCAGAGGAGGAATGAGCAGCCCGCAAGCAGCCTTTTCGGGCTGCTCGTTCCTGCTCCTCTGCTGCTGCCGCCAGCCTCTGCCTCTGGGCAGCACCCTAGGTAGGCAGGGGGACGGGAGGGGCTGGGGGAGAGGGGGGAGAGAGAAGCCCCTTCTGCCGTGTGCGCACACACATACACGCACTCCCGCACACCAGGAGGTTTGTGGTGTGGTGAACCAGCCCCCCCCCAAAAAAATCTTGCCTACCCCTGATCTAAAGTGACCCATAAACTCTCTTTTTTCAAAGAAAAAACTCAACTCTTTCTCTCATACTACCTGCCCAGCCCCAAAAGGTTATTAGAAAATATCACAAAAATCCGTTTTAAAATAAAGCACCTTGTTAATTGGTTTTAGCCACTGGACTTCATATCAACACTGTCATGTTGATATTTTCATCATCCTGAGCCACTGAAGTTTTGTGTTTGAATCAGGTTTGCTATTAAGTTGGGGAATTAAGAAACACAAAGGGAAGCGAAAGCTTTCTTCTCAAATACGTATATGGTCAGAGGATTTTAAAAGAGGATTAAAGGGGAAGAGGAATTAAAACAGGTAATTTATAAAGAGCTAAAAGGAAGTGATCCTGATTAGAAATTCCTATTCTGAAGTGGAGGTTTTGAGTTATTAAGTCTAAACCCATATCTTTATATAACAGGGTGGTGATGAAGTGTTTTTCAACACTTACTAATTTGTGCTTCACCTGTTTGAGTTAATGGGAATTTAATAGGGCTCTGCTGTTTGTTGCCAACTGAATATTTTGGTGCAAATGAGGGCAGCCAAATTTCTCCAAATTTCCCCTCAATTACTTAATTTATATTGCAGTCCCACCATTTCTTCCTAAGACCAGTAAGAGTAGGGATGTTAATCTGTTGTTGTTGTTT